ATGCCGAGTGGTAACCTAAATCATTGGCAAGTACAACATTCCCCACCCCAGGCTAAAGGATAAAGAGCATTGAAGTCCATCATGCTCCAAAGCCAAGGAAAGTAACACTGCCTATCAGGGGACAGCAGAGCTGGGTTGTCATTTTGGCTCCAGCTTCTAAGATGACAGTTGAAATGCCCCCTCAATGTACATGTGGTTCTCAAGGTCTTCAGACATTTATTTGCCAGTAAAATCCCATAAGAGCATCTGGAAGTGTGATATTTTTCCTACCTTTAGTTCTCTTTTTTCCATGTTTTGGATGTTCTGGGTTTTTCCAGCTGGAGACTGGTGTGCTCTAGCTCCCCTCACTGCTGCTGGTGCGAGACCGCCATGGGGCACTTTCTGAATGCCAAGCCTTTTTCTTACGAGCACCGCAAAGTTCCACAAAGCAAAGACCACTTCAGTTTCAATACCAAACAGGCCTTTTTCTCAAGCAACACCTGTGTGACTTAGAGCCCAGCGTTATTTTATTCCATTAGGAATGAGAAGTTCTGTTTCTGATTGGCTGAAAGGAGTTCTATCGTGCCTTTGTCGGAGGTCAAAATCACCATGTTCTGGAATCTTAGCAGGTGTGGAGTCAAGTGGGCAATAGGGTCTAGTACTAACATAGCTGCTTCAGCACCGGAGTCAGGTACAGCTTTTCTGTAAAATGGAGCAAGCACACCTGCCTCTAAGCCTTCCCTCAACATAATTGCTTCTTTAGCTGTTTTGTAAGCTGCTTCCATCTTGTTATTTGTCTGGCGCTCCTGGTGACTAGGATGTTACTATGGGTTCTAGAAATGTTTGCATGAATGGAAATATCTCAGGGATATGATGTTTATTAAAGATATTACTATGGTTCCTCCTGAATATCCTGAATATCGCTGAAGAATGCAGCCCCTTTTCAACGCTTATACATGGAGGCAGAGGCAGGGGAGTTGGGAAAGGGTGTGTTATGAAACATAGGAACACTATTGACAATAAATGTATATTGGGTTGTTGTTCTATGTGCCCCTCCCTGCCCAGGGGTGAAGAGAGAGGGTACCCTGAGAGGAAGTGCTGTGGATTGAGAAAGCACAGGACATAAGCGAGAGTCAGGCGGGCCTGGTGTCTGGGCTGGAGAAGGACGGCCAGAGCCTTTCTGTGCTCATTCTTTTGTAAGGGAGGCAAAGCCCTGTGCTTCATCTGTGGAGCACCTGTGGTTCTAAGCAGCCTCTCCTAGCCTTTGGCTAATGCTCAGGTTACTGCTAGTTTCTGTCTGAATCCAATCCAGTTGGAGCCAATCTGGTTAGTACTGCCCAGCAGATTATGCCTTTGTTTAGAGCTTTTGCATGCCCTGTCCCCTAAGCACAAAGACTGTATCCACTTAAAGGCGGTCCCTGCATCTTCCCCCCTTTTGTTTTTCTACTTTGAGCACATAGACTTTTGCTGTTACACGTATCTATTTTTCTTGGAGGGCTTTGCATTTTTACACATGACTTCAAATTTGAGCTTTTATCTAAATTTAAATCTGGTGGGGTTTTTTTTTTTGGTGTATGTGTGCGTGCGTGCTCCTAGCCTTTTCACTCTATCTATCCCTGCTCCCCCCTTTTTTTTTCTTGGAGCGTTTTCCCTGTTTCACTCCCGACTTCAAACTGATTCCTTCATCTGTTACTTTCCTTTAGCCTTTTAAATTTCTTATCCTTTCATAATTACTCCTAGCCTTCTAATAACTCTTAGCTTTTTATAACTTGTAAGTTTCTAAATCTTAGTTTCCAAGTCTTCTCTTAACTTCTAACTTTCTTAGCTTCTAAATCTCTCAACTCTTCAAAGTTTAACTTTCATACTTTTAACATACTTGACGTACTTTTCACATACAGGACAACCTTCCAATATACATCTCTCTCCCTCAGAGTGGTTCCCGTTTTAACATCCAACTGACTGACAGACTCAGTATTTTCTTTTTTTTTGACTTTCTTATTGCTGGCCTCCAGAGTATCCACTCACATTATCTTCTGTACTCGGGGTCCCTGTTTGGGTACCCTAAGGGGAAGGGCTGTGGATTAAAAAATGAGAAAACAGACAAAAGGAGGGGTCAGGTAGACTCTCTGTCTAGGCTGGAGAACACTGCGACCCTGAGCTGTCTGTGCGCCTTCTTTTATAGGGGAGGCAGAGCCATGTGCTTCAGCTGTGGAGCACCTCCTGGCTCTAAACAAGCCTCTCCTGGCCTTCTCTGGCTAACGCTAAGGTTATTGCTGGTTTCTTTCTGATGCAGCCAGACTACTGGGTCCAATCCAGTTAATATCGTGCAGCAGTAGATTATGCCTGTTTAGAGCTTTCATGTGCCCTGAAGTGTAAGCATAAAGACGGTATCCACTTTAAAGGTCTCCCTGCATCTTTGCAAAAATGTCTCATGACTTCTGACAACCCAATATTACCAAATCTCAGCATAGTGTAATTTACTATAGGCTGGGGCTTCTCCTCCCCCAATTTCCCTCCCCCCAACCCCATTGTCTATGGAATGTGAAGAGACTTAGGCTATGGAGCCAGCAGGTAGTGTGAAGATTAAAGGCTCTGGACTCCCACCTGGCCAACCGTGGTTCAAGTCCTGGACCTGGTGGTTTGCTTTCTCGCTTTCCCTATTTTTTTTTTT